CTCTCTCTCTCTCTCTCTCTCACACACACACACACACACACACACACACACACACACACACACACACACACACACACACCGTCTGATATAGCCTCACCTTGCTGATGTTCAGGGCACACCGTGAGGCTTATTTATTTGCTAAAGTAGCATTGAGTCTGGTGGTCCAGGGAGGGGTTCTGATTGTTTGCTGATATTTAAGTTTGACATTGTGTCATTTCAGGTGTTGATTTTATTTTTTTTTTTTTGACATGCACCTACATGCAATCCATAAACTCAAAATTAAACACAAACATTTGTGACAATTGCAGTTTGGAAGTCCAATGTAAAAAGATTATAACATAATATTTCAGGACAGAAGAAAGTCAAGATATTCACCCACATCAATCCACCTGTCTAGTCTAACATCCTCCCCACTTTAAATGCATCTTCTCTCTCTGCTTTAGTTCTATTCAAAGACACAGCCTCTATCTGGCAATCCATTACATACACCAGTTGCCATTTGTGCAAAGAAATGTCTCCTAAACCTCCATAATGCCTAGGGAATTAAGTTATTTTCTTTTCTTCCCTGCCCCCTTGCACCCATCTAAAAAGAAAAAAAAAGAGACTGTATGCAAAGTTCATGTACTGTGTAGAACATTCATGGAATGTTCATATTCTAACTAGTGTGCAGATCTATATGTTCCTACATTACATACAATATCATCTGGTCATCTTAAAAGTAGCCTATCAGATGCAGTAAATCCACAAGTAAGATTGTTAAAGCCAGTACTTACAAAGAATGGGATAAGACCAGCAGCTCTGTCTTCATGCAAAACTTTCTTTAGGGCTGATCCGCGAACAGTGAATTTATCATCTGAAGGGATATTTTTAATCTTCACTCCACCAATTAATCCTGCCCTTTCCACTGATGAGTGGGCCTGCAATTAAAAGGGTGGATTTTAAAACATGAACCTTCCACAGAAACCTGTTTTTAATTCTAACAAACCACGTGTAATATTTTATGAGATCCACAATGCAATAGAATTGGGGTTGTCCATACTAAAATCTCTAGTCAATGAGTCTCTTATGCCAGGACTTAATTTAGCCCCAGCTAAATTAGTTACAGATCCTGCTACACATGACAATATTCATTTCCCAGTATTTACTCTATGGTCTACATCCTGTATTTACTGATGTCAATGGCAAACTCCCATTTACTGCAGTGGCCCTATTTCTGCAATGGAATTTTCTTGAGGGACAATGGGTTTGATAAGATGCAAAGCATCTTGTGCAGGAACGCACTTGACATGCTTTTAGCTTCCCTCCACCCCCGTCTTGCACTGTGTTTGTCTATACATGCATTGTCCCCCTCACAGGAGGCTGTTTTAGTTTTTCATTCCTTTTGGATTACTGAGCAGTGGGTCACACAGGTCTGTTCTTAATGCGGAAGGAGTGGCGAGCTCAGCTTTGAAAGGTCAGCCATGTCTTAAGGCGAATCCTTCTGCAGACAGAAAATCCCCTGACCTTCAGCAGGCATGGAGGGCTGTCAGTCTCCATTTCAGATCAGCCAGTTACAACAAAAAGACAAACAATGGGGCTCTGCTTAGTAGTACATTAAACTTAAGGCTCTGTGTCTGGAAATCTGCACAGCACACACTCTAGAGCTCCAAAGAGAAAAAGGACCAATTGTATCATGGCTTTTAAAAATCATCAGGATCCTTCCCCACTTCTCACATCCTGACTGTTCCCACATATGGCCTTATAATACACCCCTTCCCCACCCCCAACAAAGAGCAGGTGCCCTTTTTAAATTACATTGTTTCTTAATATACAGTGATGGTAAAGTCCAGTGAAACCTGAAGTCTGGCCATTTTAATGTGGTGTAACCAGTGGATTAGTTCAAACTAAATATCAAGCAGTGAGAACATTCCTGCTATCTCACTGACATTTAGATAATAAAATGTCATGTTTATTGGAAGAAGTAACATTGCTTGGCCCCCTTTGTTAGGATTAGCAGTTTTAAAATGCAAGCACAGCTGAACTGGTAGGCCAACGTTTGCTTTCAGACATGGTAGAAGCTTTTCATGATCCTGGCCATGCTGAGAATTCATAGTTTAAGTAAATCTGCTAAATACTGTTTGCGGATAGAAAACAGGGATTATGTTGGACAAACTTGGATTGATAAACTCAGATTTTAGTAGGCTTATTTTTAAACCAACTGCAGTTTTTTCAGGTACCAAGCTTGGTATGTTTATAACTCATACAGTGCAGCTTTGTGTGTGTCAACATTCAAATCAGTTAGTTTATTGGCCACACTTACTCATGTTGACTAGCACCTTATTCCACAAATGGTATCTTCATCCACTACAATGGGATTCCTTGCAGAGTAAAATAAATACTCAGTGTGAGGAAGGGAGGCAACATTGGGCTGTTAATCTGTAACATGTAGTACAATGCTTTCACCTGTTGTTATTATTTATTGTTTGTATTGTGGTAGGGTCTAGTAGTTCCAGTCATGAACCAGGACCCCAATGTGCAAGGTGCTGTACAAACACGGAATGAAAAGATGATCCCTACTCCATAGAGTTTACAATCTAAGTAATCTGTATAGCAGTGTGACTGCATTTTTCAAGTAGAGTAATTCCGAGGGTCATTTTTAGATGTCCTCACCTGATCAGATGCATAGGCCACCAACTTGCTCATGATGTCTGCCTCTGTTAATTCTGGGTTTTCTGATTGGACACATCTGATTGTTTTTGTTCTGGCAGCAAGCAATGTAACCAAAGTAGCCTCGCTGGCACTGCCCTATGATGGAGAAGAGAGACATGGGACATAGTGAAGGAAGCCTCAAAACCAATGGTACGTATTACGTGAGGGAGAATTACTGAAAACAAAATGTTGCATGTTAAAGATCTGCCTCAGAGTGAAAGCTGTACAAAAATAAATCCTACAATATGGAATCATTTGAGAACTCTTATACCACATGCATGGTAAGAAGCATTGCTGCAAGATAGACACAAATGTGCACCTAAGATTGTGTCAGAAAAACTGTATATTATGTTTAAGAAACTGTATGTGACCGTGCAATAAATTTAACCTTTGCCTCTCGTTTCCTCACTCTTCTCTTCATTTTTTATGTTTGGGTGATTTAGGCTCCAGTCTTGGAATCAGCTCTTTACAAGCAAACCCCTGCACCTTTGTAGATCCCCACTGACATCAGTGAGCACTACCCCTGCAGCTCCCATTGGCCAGGAATGGGGAACTGTCACCAATAGAAGCTGCAGAGGCGGTGCCCACAGAGAGGGGCAGCACGCGGAGCCACATCCCCCCCCCAGGGGCTGCAGGGGGACATTGGCTCCTTCTGGGGGTGGCATGGGGCCAGGGCAGGCAGGTAGCCTGTCTTAGCCCCGGTGCGCCGCCGACTGGGAGCCACCTGAGGTAAGTGCTGCCCAGTGGGAGCCCACACCCCAACCCCCAATCTTGAGACTCCTCCCAGAGCCAGCACCCTATACCACCTCCTGCACCCCAAGCCCCTGCTCCAGCCCTTATCCCTTCTGCACCCAAACTCCCTCCCAGAGCCCACATCCCCTTTTTTCCCAGCCTGGAGCCCCCTCCTGCACCCAAACTCCCTCTCAGAGCTTGCACCCGTCCCCCCTCTGCACTCCAACCCTCTGCCCCAGGCCGAGCCCAGAGCTCCCCCACACACTCCAACCCCCCTTGGCTCCGACTCAGAGCCCACACCCCCTCCTGAACCCCAAACCCCTGCCTCAGCCTGTTGAATGTGAGTGAAAATGGGGGAAAGTGAGCAACGGAGAGAAGGGGATGGAGTGAGCAGAGAGGGGCTTCAGGGAAAGAGTGGGGCCTTGGGAAAGGGGAGGGGTAGATCCTGGGTTGCACTTAATTCAAAAAGTGATCTTGTGCGTAAAAAGGTTGGAGACCACTGTTCTACACTGTTTTCAGTACGATGTGGTAACAAGAGTACAGAATTGGACTTCAGAAAACCTGGCATCAAGCCCTGGCTCTGCCACACATTTGCATCATCTTTAGTCACTTAAACTGTCATTTTCAAACTTGGATGCAACACAGTTGGTTGGCCTTAGCCTCTCTGTGCCTCAGTTTCCTTCATCAATAAAATGGGTAAGAACTTGTAGAAATGTTCAGTATCTTTTAGGCACTTGCAGTATTTAAGGAGTGGTCTTGTTCCTGACTAGTTAGTTTAGGATGTTCCAATGATTAAAGCACTAGCTGGAGATTTGGCAACCTACCACAGACTGTCTGTGTGAGCTTGGGTAAGTCACTTAGTTTCCCTTCGCCTCAGTTCTCAAATGTAGAATGGAGGTGTTGTGAGGCTAACTACAATAAAGACTGCAAAGTACTCAGATAATATGGTAACGGGGCCATATAAGTACCTAAAATAGATGGATCTTAAAATAAGTTCTGGTTTTACTAAATACACTTTATTACTAGGCATGGAAGGATGAAATGTTTATCAGTAAGTTTTGGTAAACATTAATATGACCGCATGGGTGCGTGTGCGCACACACAAATATTTCCATCAATAACAGAAGTTTACAAATAGACAAAGTAAGAAGAAGGCTGTGTGAGAACTTAGAGGTTGATGTAAGGTTATTTTCTTTGTACAGTTTGACATGTGATGTTAATTTTTATTTTAACATTTATAAAGCATTAACTTTTTGAATTGCAAAGTCCACTGTCATGAAATAATTACTGTCTAACTCCACTATTGTTTGACCTCCCCCAAAATTTCCCACAACTATGAGAAATTAAATAGATTAAATTGAAAATGCTTAAAAATAAACAACATTATCCACTGAAATTACAAAAAGACCCAAAATTGAAATCTGCCAAACCTATTTATAACTAGCTAATAATCACTTTTTCATAATTAAATTGATTCATGGAGAGCCTGATGAGTTGTGTAACTAATGTATTCACTTTGCTGTTAAGTCTTTTACCAACAATTCTGAAAAATATTCCCTTTGTTCTCTAGTTCCTTGGTTGTTGCTAGCAAAATCATGAATTCTGTTTACTTTCAGAATTAAAATCCCTCTCTTTGCAGAAGAAACAACCTTTGTAATACACAAGGGAAATGAAGTTTTTATCTGTTTATATAGAAGGCAAAACTGAGTTGCATACGTTGCACGTTCACACAAGTTCTAGTGAGAAGGTTGCTTTCTATTCTTGCTAGTTTTAAAAGCGTTTTTTTCTTTAAAGCTACACTCTATGCTAAGTGAACAGTGATGATACCTTCCCTTTTATTGCAAGCAAACAAAGGTTGCCATGGTGAGCAGGCTCAAGAGGCGGAAGAAATATTGGCGAGAGCTGATGCTCATGTCCACCAGAACCCTGAGCTGAAATTTTTTTTCATCTTTTGGCTTTTTCAAGTGTCACCTAGTACACAGCAAGAAAGTGTTTTGTATTGATGTGGGCTTTCAAATGTAATTAACAGCCAGTTTTCACAGGCTCAGTTTATATAAAACTGCAATAATCGTTTGGTGTTTGCATCAGGAATGATTGGCAGCCTCACATTCACGTTATCTTTGCCAAGCCCTCTCTTACTTGTATCATTATTGTTTCAAGAGCGAGAGGATCAGCAGCACAAATTGCCTCATCTCAAGCGGCAGCACGAAGCTCACTTTCAATTCCTAAATTTGAACGATCCTCGGTATCTTACAAAATTACAGGCCATCAAGTGTTGTCAGTTGGGAAGGGCGACATTTGCTGCTGATAAACAACAGGCATAATTGCCTGCTGTCGTCAGAACAAAATTGATGCTGTGGAGACCCATGAAGAAAGGTTGGTTTCATGTACATGCCAAACCCAGAGTCATCCTAATGTAAATACTCCTAGCACAACTACGGCACTGGGGTTGGAATGGAATAACTCTGAATTTACACTGGTGTAAGTGAGGACAACACAGTTGAGCCGAAAATCTTGACCGTCTTTAAGTAGTTGTGTTAGGTATGTTTTTGACTGAGGAGATCTTATGACTAGATACTAGTGAGTTTGAAGGGAGAACAAGCATTAATGGAGAAGCTTCTGAAACACAAACACACACATACAAACCAGCAGATCTATCCCTGTATGAGGCATTCATTGCTGTCTGGATTTTGTTTGTTTGTTTGTTATATGGGAAATGTAACCAATATTCATTTAGCAGGTCAACTTTTAAATAGATTTTTGCCTTTTGCTGCACTGGAGTTTTAGTCTGCTAGTTGGATTATTTAATTTCATTATACCTTTCAGTTTCCAATTATAAACAGCTTCATTTTAGTCCTACATATTTAAAGTGTATTTATTAAAATCATATTTGTTTCTTTAACAAATGCTCCTGTCAGTGGACTTTCTACTATACTCTGCTCTGTTAAATATGGTGGACACACTTGTATACTCTCTTCTATTACTATACTTATGGTGCTCTTCTTCTTTGATAAGAGGTGGACATTTTAGAAATAGCCTCTAACAAAATGTTGAATGTTTTTGAGTGAAGTTTAAGGAAAACCTTTTCAACCCTTTTCACAGAGCTTTACTGTTCATAATTAGGACTCAAAATCCTCATGTAGGTTCAACTTGAAGTTGTTCTTCACTCCCAAATACTAAAGTACCATTATCATTAAACAGTTGCTGTGTCTGCCAGTTAGTCTGTAGCAAAAATAGCAAGTTCCATTCCAAGAGAAATTCCAATATTTTTCCATTTGTTTTTACCTTGCATTGGAACACACAGTTGAAATAAAAGTTTTCATGGAATGGAAAGTTCCAAAAATTTTCCATTCAAAATATTTTGTTTTGACATTTCCTGTCAAAATAAAATATTTCAGCATCCCTGGATCAAAATGGCTCATTTCATTTTGTTGGGCTGAATAAAAACATTTAATTTCATACTAGTTTGACAATAGTCTGTGTCCCCCTGAGTAGATACGGTGCTTCCTAGAAGTTATAATTCAAGTGCCTCATGCTTCCTTTCTCCTCTGTGGGCTAGGTTCCCTGGCCAGATTACATCCCAGGATGTACTGTGGAATCACATGATTCCCATGATGGACCATGTCTGTTCAACCAGAAGAGGAGACTTCATTGCATCATGGGGTATGTAGTCCAACCAGAAAGCTCAGCTCAAAGAACAGGGGCATGAGGCACCCATGAAAAAATTCAATTATGCTGAAATCACATATCGTTCAAAAAACATTTCAAACAGAAAGATCCCAACCAGCTCTACACCCCATGTTGTAACCATTGTACCTCCAGGGCTGTCAATCTATCACCTTTCACCTGCACTAAATTCACCTTCATTTAAAACCACCACCAACAAAAAAGCCATAATGTGCCTCAGAGGTGCCTGGATTTTTAAATGGTGGGGGAAGTGATTAAAATCTGGATTATTATGGAGAAGCACTAGTCTTTCCACAGGCTAGGCTGAAGCTAGCTTTCCAGTTGTGTTCACTCTAAGCTGTGCGGCTGGGTGGCTGCCCAGGAGATATTCAAGTGCCACACTGTTGATTAGCAGAGCTGCGCACATCCGGCAGTGTGTGTTCAGGTGCCCCTCCTCCCGCTGCTTTGCGGCCACGTTGCTCCTGCAGCTGTTCCCGGGACTCTCCTGCTGGCTGTGCAGAGGAGGAAGGGGGAGGGGGGTGCTGATGTCAGGGTGTCCCCCTCCCCCGCCCCTGTACCCCATCTCCACAGACCCGGGGAGAGGGGACAGCCTGGCTCAGGACTCAGAGCTGCTGCGATCTGAATGACTCAAGCCTCTGGCGATGAGTGAGTGCCTTTCTTAAAGAGACTGTGCATGGTCTCTGAGACTTCCCCAGCAGCCAGCTCACAGTCGCGCGCGTGCGCTCTCTCTCACACATACACACACACACACACACACACACACAGTCTCTTTCATACTCACCTCCCAACACATACTTGTATTACTGTTGTTATACAATGCACATATATTCTCTGTAATTTTATTCTTTCAAAGTGTGTTATTTTAGTGTTTTGACTGGTCTATGCATTTCATAATTTTCATTTCTCTTACTACTCAAAGAATTAAATTTAAGTGAGAGTTCTAAAATGCCTAACCTGTCCTGGCTGGAGTAATTATCCACATGGTAACTTTTAAAAAACTATCTATTATATCTAGTTTTTTTGTTTCTAGTGGTAGTGCACATCTGCACATAACTTGGTGTGCATAACAAAATTTATTCCGCACATAGATGGAAAAAATTAGAGGGAACATTGCTTTTCAGTGCAATTTTTTTAACCATACCCTAATGTCATGAAGTAAACATTAATTTTCAGGCATACATGTGGGATCTTATGCCAGAGTAGAATTTTCCTGGAGAGCTTGTGGCAGGTTGAATGAAGCATTTGTGAGATAGGAGTGTTAAAAATCAAAGCAAAAAAAACCCCTTGTTTTTTCACTTTTTGGGCATCTAGCCATGCTACCCCTCCTCCCTGCAATCCTATCTGAAAAAAATAAATTGAGCAAGAAACTCCTTTTTTTTTTGTTTTGTTCTGTTAGCTACATTGAGAACTGCTTCCTTTGACATGCAAGGCTTTGATTTAGTTATTAAAAGTAGTTTCTGTGTACATTAGGAATCTCATACCACTTGGATGTCAGTTTGCTAGCGCCCATATCAGAGTTCCTATATCCTGTGGTTGTGGAAGGGCTATAATCCTCCTTTTTTACAGATGAGAAAATGGAGGCACAGAGAGACTAAGGCTGTGTCTACACTGGAGCTGAAGATGTAATTTCCAGCTCAGGTAGAGATACCCATGCTAGCTCTGATCAGGCTAGCGTGCTAAAAATAGAAATATAGCTGCTGCGGTGGGACAGGCTGAGTATAGTTCAATCTGAGTACAGTTCCATCTGAAACCCAAGAAGGGTATTTGGGCATCTAGCCATGCTGCCACAGCTATACTGCTATTTTTAGCATGCTAGCACACAAGTAAGTCTAGCTCTAGTAGAGAGATACTCTAAGTGATTTGCCCAAGGTCATCCAGGGATTCTGTGGCACAGCCAGGAAGTGACCCCAAATTTCTTGACTCCCAGTCCACTTTCCTACTGACAAAGCCATCCTTCCTCATATGTCAGATCTTGTAGGAGAGTCTAGATATCATGGGAGAAGTGTGTGCCCTATTGGATGGAGAAGAAGGATGGGAGACAAGTACTTCTGAGTTTTGTTACCACTTTGCCACACTATGTAACTTTAACATTACTTGGATTTACACAGCACCTTTTACTAATGGATCTCAAAGTGCTTGAGATGTATTCATTGTGTCTCAAAACCCTCCCGCGGCAGGTAAATTTACAGATACAATTTACAGATGGGAAAACTGAGACTCAGGTAGGTTAAGTGACTTGCCCTAGGCCACAGAGTGAGTCAGTGAGAGAGAGAGAGAGAGCGCGCGCCTGGTTAAAACTCCCAGACCAATACATAGTCTGCTAAATCAGTGCTCCCCCCACCTCACCAAGTTAATCATTAATCCCTCATTGTCGGTTTCCCCGTATACGTAAAGTATACATATAAGGATGCACAGCTAGGAGGAGAAGAGAACAACAGTGCATTGGGGAGAGCCAGCCTCATATCCGCATGCTGTCACCTTTCACATGGCGAGGACTTAGTGCAGACAGAGTGAGAATTGCTAGACAAAGAGGGCTAAGGGTAGTGTTTAGTTTGGTGTTTGCTTGAGCTAAAGGTAGCAACTCTAGGACTGTCCAGAGTCAAGTTTCCAAGCTAAGAAATATATATCAGGGTGTCACTGAGCTACACTTTAATATAAACCGCCCAATAAAGAAAAGTCTCAGCTTAAAAAAAAAAAAACCTCTGCAAGATGGAGTTAAGGGTGTAAATACAGTAGCCATAACAAAATAAAATCTTTAAGGCTTTATAGTTCAAAGGTAAGGTTACACTTGATAATGAGAAAACACCAGATTGTATAAGAGTGCAAAGTTTAGGTACCCTGAACAATTACAACTCACCCCTCATATACCTGTCCACTCTCCATCCTGAAATCTTGAGATTTCTTAGGGTATGTCCACACTGCAGCTGGGAGGTGTAATACCCATCTTGGGTAGATGTACATATGCTAGCTCTGATCAAGCTAGTGCACTAAAAATAGCTGCGTGACTGCAGCGATAGGATAGTCACTCAAGTACAATCTCATCTGAGATCCTAGGTTTGTATTTAGACATCATTTAGGTATTTAGGCATCATTTAGGTATTTAGGGAACAAACTCCCAGCCGAGCTTCCTAATACACTTCCCTTCATGTCGGACACTGAAAATGTTATGACCCTGTCTCCTCCTATTTATTCTATGAAATGTGGTGGTCAAGAGACTATATGCCAATATTTAATTGGAGGGATGTTTGTTGCATGAACTTGACTTTGTAAATGAATTAGGACCCTTTCCAATTCCCACTGAAGTAAAGGGGAAAATTTCCATTGCCTTCATTGGGCGCAGAAGGATGTTGATCTCTTAGTTGTAAGTAATAATCACATGCAAAGTTTCTCTGTATAAAGGCTTATGCTCATTCTTACAGCCTGTCTCTGTTTCTATTAAATCTGAAGGGGTTCAACAAAGCAGAAACACTTTGATTTTCCCTTTGTTAGTGCTTTGGTTTGAAGGCTTTATTAAACAATGAAGACATGCACGTTCACTGCACGGTCTGTTTTCTCATTCTGTCTTACCTGAATGACTCCTCCACCTTCTCCGTCCTTCCCAGCTAAAAACTCTTCAGGCAAATTAATCATCTTTCCCAGCCAATCCAACATGACTGTCTCCAGCTCTGTGCAAGCAGGACTTGCAGCCTATATTGGGGAATGAAACAATGGGAATAAACCAACTACAGTGGCTTGCCTTTTAAAATTTAACTTTTACCAACAGTTGCCAAACACTGGTCTCTGAGGGTATGTCTCTGGAACCTGGGCTTGTGGACTTAGTGTTTCCAAGTCCATGCTTGAGCATCCACAGTGCATTGCAAACTTGAGTTTACAGTTGCCGGACCCAGGTCTCACAGCTGTGCTATTGTGTTCATACTGCACTACACAGACCTTCCGACTTGGGTCTGTGGCTTGACCTGAGTCCACACTGCAAAATGACAGGGCTTGGATCGAAGTCTTAGCGGGACTCATGCTCTGATCCATCCCTGTAGCAGGGTCCTAGGACCTGGTTCTTGAGTGCTCGCTGACCTGAGTCAGACAGATTTGTGTGTGGATGGAAGGGTGAGGGGGTGGGGGCTGGGCTCAAACCTGCATCAGAAACTGGGCTGAGTGTGCAGTGCAAACATACCCTGGAGACCCCACAAGTATTTCCCTACACTTAGATTAGGAGAGCTAATTTATGTCCCTGTGTTCTGCCCAACCTGGCACATTGTACAGATCGTGGAAGCAAGCTGCAGAGGAGGTAGTGCTCACATGAGGGGGTGACCATACTTTACTCCTACTACATACTAAAAGATCAATGTACCATATTCTTACTTACACACTTGACTGTCAAATGTCAAACTAAGGGTCTGCTTCTGACACACTTACTCACTTAGTGCCTAACTCTGAATAGTCCCTCTGACATCAATTTTTAAAATAATCCCTCAAACCAAAAACAAAACAGGCCACTACACACACAATTCTCCTCATGGGGAGAGGATGAGAAAGAGAGTGAGCCATATGTGACAGATATTAGCTACATCACTTATTGCACTAATGGAAGGTGCTCAGATAATTATGGTCATGAGGAAGGTACAAGAACAAATATAGACTAGGATACTGTTCTCCGTGAATAAGAGTGGCAGAATGGGTCCTAATGCAGTACCCTAGCTTCTCACAGCTGGATGGTAACTGCTCAATGAAGATGTATTAGATCACTTCATTGTTTATTTTAATTTGTAAGTGAATTGTGGTGCTGTGAAAGCTCCCAGGCTGATAGTGCAGGAGGGTGAGATCCTCATTGTATCTGCAAATCAGGTAGAACAAAGGCAGCAATGCAGGTTTTGCCAGGCGGCCTGGCCATATTGTTTTAGTTCTGTCTGGGAAGACCACTCCTAGGGCTGAGAGAGTAATGTAATTTCTATGGCCTTACACATTGCCAATCATGATGATGATTTTTTTAGTGTGGCCATTTTCCCAGTGAGAACTGAATGAATTCATCAACTCTTGTCACATAGGCCAGCAAACAACCATTTTGTCACTAACAACTTCCAATCCCTGCTGATTTGGGCTGAATTCAAGTGAGTGATCTAGAGTTGAAAGGCTCAGTAAACCATTAGCAATCCACGGAGACATCCAGTCCCGCCAGTGATTTTATTTTAACACGGGAGCCTGTATTTCCCTCTATCACCACTCAGCTTGGAAAACCTTATCTTCAGAATAAAATACTGTTTTGAAGAACACTTAGTTTAAAAGTAACTTCACTTTAGAATTTTTTTAAATGAGTTGTTATTTGTGACACCTAAAATGAATATACATGAAAGAGATTAGAAGAAAACAAATATTTTTCTGTTTACATTGTGTTTCTGACAGGATTTTCCGTATAGTCATTTCACTATTACCGCCTATATTGTCAATTAATTACTCTCTGTCCCCTATTGCTGTCACATAGAAACAACATTTTTTTTAAATAATAGGATATTGTGATGGTAAAACTACTGAGAGCTCATTTTTGTGACTGGTAGTGTCCTTTTAGAAAAGGAGAATAGATAGTGTTTCCCCCCATTTTATCACTACCGCCCCCAACCCCCCATCTTTTGGATAGAAAGTTTTCATAGGTTGCAGGTCATTATCAGAGTCATTCCATAGTTGTTATGAAACATTTATGCTCATGAGTAACTTTTCCTACGTGAGTAGCCCCATTGACTTCAGTATGGACTGCTTACCCCAAGTAAAATTATTCACATGCTTAGGTCTTTGCAGGATAGGCCTTTGTGCTGTACAGCAACATCTGCCATGATCAACTTACCCAGGAGAAGCCAATGCATCCTATGCCACCAGACAATATATCAGCAAGAAGAGCTGGGAAGGAACTGGCTGTAGGAAAGTAGGCAAAAAAGTATGGACTGTGCCAGTGGGTCACCTGTGTTGGACAAGAAATGTCACTGTTAATTATCATAATGGTACATTCAGACATCAAGGAAACTGTCCTGTTTTCAGTATATGTTCAAGATGATCAAGGACAGTAGGGATTAAGGTTCAGAGACCTGGACTCCACAGAATCATAGAAATATAGGGCTGTAAGGGACCTTGAGAAGTCAGCAAGCCCCCTACACTGAGGCAGGACCAAGTAAACCTAGACCATCCCTGGCAGGTGTTCATCTGACCTTTTTTAAAATTCCCAGTGAGGGGGATTCCACAACCTCTCTTGGAAGCCTATTCCAGAGCTTAGCTATGATCATAGTTATAAAGTTTAGTTTTTCCTAATATCTAACCTAAATCACCCTTGCTACAGGTTAAGTGCATTACTTCATCACCAACAATTCATCATCATGTTCTTTATAACAGCCCTTAACATATTTGAAGACTGTTAACAGGTTCCCCTCGCCCCTTAGTCTTTTTTTTCCCTGAAGCTTAAATGTGTCAAGATCAGGTCAAGAAAATGTTGTCTGAAAAGCCTGTTCTGGCCAGTCCAGATTTTGACAAAATGTTTCAGCTCTATAGAGATGCATCAGACATTGGGCTAGGTGATGTTTTAATGAAGTCAGGGGAAGTAACAAAACACCCCATTGCTTTCTTAAGCAAGAAACTGCTACCCACTGAGCAGAACTACTCTCGTGGAAAAGGAATGTTATGCCATAATGTGGGCAGTCAAGCAGTTACAGCCATATCTTTTTAACAGGAAATTCAGGGTACTAACTGACCATTCTCCAGTAGTCTGAGGACACAGAACCAAAGGCATTAATTGTAAGATACTACACTAGAGCATCAAAAATCTGATGTGGAGATTGTACATATTAAGGAGAAAGAAAATATTGCAGCTGATGCCTTGTCCGGGCAGGAGGGTTCTGACCCACTGCATATGGTTCAGCCAGGGGCTGATCCTACTGCAGTTTTGTAAGGGGGGAGGTGTGATCCTAAGCACTTCTGTATTCAAACCTTACACACGACTTCAATGATGTTTATACAAAATGTGCCTTGTAAGGTGCCATTTGAAAACAAATAACACATTGGTAACATTGCTCTATAGCCAAAATGCTTCTGAAATAAATG